CACACACACACACACACACACACACACACACACACACACACACACACACACACTCTTCACTGGACTGCCTTTAGCTTTGATGACATTGAGCATTTGCTGTGGCATAAATGTAATAATGTAACAAGCTCATGGGAGGTCATAACATTCGTTTCTGTCCAGAACTTTGTTAAATTTTACAGATGTGACAGTTTGACCGCGATGAAAAGTCTTCACTAACACATCCACAGATTCTCAGGGGTTCAGCAGAAAATGCTGTAACTGAGTACATTTAGGTGGTCGGCTGATATCCTGAACCTGGACTTGACCAACTGAAGCAACCTCACATCATAACACTCACACAGGCTTGTACAACGGGCACTAACTGGGCATGATGGGTGCATCACTTCATCTACTTCTCTTCTTGGCTGATGCAGCTACAGGGTCAGTCTGGACTCAGACCTCCTGACCTTTATCCATCGCTCCAGAGCCAAATCTTTATTCTCACTTGGAAACTGACATTTTTTTTCCCAATGATCTATGCGGGTAAATGTTTTTCTTAATCTCAGCCAGATCCTTAGTTGTTTGTGACTTCTTCTCTCTGACAAACAAACCTGTTAGGAGGAGAGCTTTTCAGGTGTGGTTTATCTGTCTGTGGTTGCCTTGAGTCTTAACACAGCCTTTAGCTGGAGCAGCAGCAGCAGCTCTGGTGTTCCTCAGAGTTTCGAACATGGCTGCAGGTCAGTCGTGTTACAGAAGTGCTCGAGAGGCGAGTAAACAGACTTAAAGTGGAACAGCGTGCTTTGAGTTGTATATACCAGTGAATGGCACAAATAAAGCTTAAGCTGTAAGGCTTCTTGTGTGGGCAGCAGGGTCAATTAGGTAAGTTTGCTCTGTCAGATATTTGTGAGATGAATGGGTGAAAACACTGAATCACTTTCTCTGCAGACATGCGGTGAAATTCCCCGTACAGCATGCTGTCACGGTCTTCATACATGTTCTGATAAAACGCTGTCTCTGTGGAGTCTGGCTGCAACGAACACATTCCTGTAATGTGATGCTGGATCAGAAAGAAACACTTTGTATTGATAGGACAAAATATTGACACACAATCTTTGTCCTAGTTTCAAAGAATGCCTGCCAGCAGTTTAGATTTTTGTTTTCAAAAAATTTGAAGAAACCTAAAAGTTACCACAAAGAAACTTGAACTAAGTAGTACGGGTGTTTTCCCACCTGCTGTGTTTAGTCCGTTTAAATTGAACTCTGGTCCATTTTCCCCCTCGGTGTGGTTGATGTGTGCAGATATTAACACAGTGATCGGGGGAGACCCAAAGGACTGCACCTCGACCCTCTGGAGGAGGCGCTTCATTTATGGTGTGAATGTGATCCAACCCCAGTCTGAACCAACTACCAGGTGTTACAAGTTTCAGCTAAAAAAATGTCCCGTAGCCATGTTGGCTTTATATTCTCAGTGCAGGAAGGTACTACAGATGAGCAAAGGTCTGTCCAACCAGCAGCTAGCTGTTATATTAGCGACCTTTAACAGGATAATTTAAAGTAGAGCCAGAGTAGCACTCTGTCAGAGCAAAGGTTAGAGATTAAACATCTGAGTACAGCAGCCAAGGATGAGACACAACCCTTCAATCAAATGTGTTTCAAAAGAAAAACATGTCTAATAGTAAGTGCTGCTCAAAGTCAGTCTTTGTGAAACAGATGTTTGTTGTTAGATTAGGTTTGTATGGAAAGCCTGACAGAAGCAGAGATTGATGCCATGGCGATCAGCAAACAAAAGTTCTTGGTAGAATAAGAACATGCCTCAGATTTCTGGAGAGGCGGAGTTAGCACTGTCGGAAATTTCAAAGTAAGAGACGGTTCAGTCTACTAGCAGATCTACTACAGATGGCTTTGTGCTTCTGGCTCCATAGTTTAATGTTTAAGAAAAGAAATGAGTAGCCAAGTGTATTTAATCAGATATTTAAAAACTTATGCAGCCCACCCAAGTGTAGGCTATTATAACAGTTGCTGTTGCAATGCAGTGTAGCACCACATGGTGGCGTCTCTTGACTCGTGACTGGTAGGTCACGCCCTTTTTGTTCTTCTTCACTGTGTAGCGTCTCTGTAATGGATTCTTCCCTATGTACGCAGACTGTGTGCTCTCAAGTAACGTGTAGTAGAGCTGGCACTTTTATTTTTTTGATATTTAAAATAAATGAGTACTTGTGGAAAGTTAGAAGTCGCTCATTCGCTATCCAGCTGCACACCTCTGCGGCTGGCTTCAT